TAACTCCGTTAATGGATGTCATGAAATAAAGAATAGTCTTTGTTCAAAAGATTTCAAAAATAAAATTCTAAATCCATAAAAAATATTTATTTTACCAAAAATAGAAAAAGCAAGTGAAGGTGTGACAATAGTACAAGATAAAACAAAGATTAAAAAAATTAGAGAAGGAAAGATTGAGAAAAAAAAAGAAAAATAAGAATAAAGAAACTAAGTACTAGTGGTCAAACAACTACTCTTAGAGTAGTTGGTCACCAGGAGAGTTTTAAAACTCATCTTGGGTGTAGGATAAAATTCCCCCTTTGGGTCCCCACTTCCCCCTCCCCCTTCTTTTGACCCCTTTGGATCCCCCACTTCCCCACTCCCCCTCTCCAAAAAATTTCACCAGTTAGATAGTGGTCCAGTCTCCCCCGAATTCTCCCTATAACTTCTTTGGATCCCCCTTTCCCCTCTCCCTAGCAGTCTCCTCCCCTCTTCCACCTCCCCCTCCCTTTGATTTATTTGGATTCCCTTCCCCTAACATAGAGTAAAAGCAAATATAGAATAAAATCTATCATGTGCCAAAAAAAAAAAAAGAATACTAGTGATCAAAACCATAGATCGGGTCTCTCCTTATTTCCCTCCCCCTCCCCCCCCCCAACAAGTCAAAACCAAACATTCAACAAAAATTTATTTAAACAACCACACAAATTTGGAGAACAAGCTCATATATGAATCAATCTAGTAATTATCCAAGAACAAGTTATGTCTCCATACTAGAGGTGTCAAAATGGGTAACTTGGGCGGGTTTGAGTTGGATAAAATGGGTAATGGGTATAAGTGAGTCAACCCATTTATACCCATTTAATTAGATAGGTATAAATGGGTAAATCAAAAAATGAATTGGGTAACCCGATTATCCATTTATAACCCATTTATTTTAATTTTTTGTATACTCATTTAAATTTATTTTTTCAAACTAAATTATCAATTTATACCACTCTTTGTACCCACCATTAATTTTAAATATTTGTTTATAATGTTCAATAAGCCTAATTACCAATTTTTTTCCATTTATACTCTATGTCGCAAAATTACATATTATTTAATAATTGAATAATAAGAATAAAAAAAATTTGAACTAAGTACTATAAAAGTTAATATAAAAACTTAATCCAAAAATTTTGAACCCCTAAAATTTTTTTCATATATAAATTTAAAATTTCATTTTAGAAAGATAAGAAAAGAGGCTAAAACTTATCATAAATTGGTAATGCTAAAAAGTGAGCAAGTTAACAAATTAAGCGAAAATAAAATAATAAGATAAAACCAACAAATAATAATAATAGTGAAACAAAAGTAGTTAACATCATGACAAAATGAAATATTTGAAAAAAAAAAGGGTGGGGGAAGAGAAGAGACTTGGGGGATGAGAATTCTAAATGGATTAATTGGCTTTGATGGATTACCCAATAATACCCATTTAATAAATGGGTATTATTGGGTAACCCATTTATATCCATATACAAAAATTTAAGATACCCATACCCACCTATTCATGGACGGGTATGGGTAAATTTAGTTAAATGGGTTGGTTTGCCACCTATACTCCATACCATTGCCGTCGCCAACTCTGTTGTCAATCGCCACTGCCTCCATTGCTTTTTTCATATTTCCTCGCTATCCCTTTTTCTCTGTTTCAAACACACACCGACAATGATGAACAGGCCTTGTAACAATTTGTTTTTGGGATTTAATAGCCCATGAAATTGGGAAATTACCCTTCTATGAATTGGAATATGATTTTCTATCCATAATCTGATCTACCCATATTGGTTAATGGGTGATTTTCGTTGAGTCCATTTATGATTGAATATGAGCTATTGCATCAGTGTGTGTTTCTAATATTTCAAGGAGTTGTCCGAAGACTTTGGAAGAATTCAGTTTCGATTTAAGCACGTTTTTACCCACATTTTGTGTTTTTTTTTATATCAAGTTTATTGAAATATTGAAACGTTAAGGCTCAAACCTTGAAAAAAAAAAAACTTTAAAACTGACATTGGCAATTGGAGCGGGATGCTTCAACTCTGGCGTCTTGTTGGGACAAGTCACGGTTTTAGTGTCTTACTGTATACTGTATACGGGGAAGGATGAAGAAAGATAAGTAGTAACGTACAAATTATGGTTTTAGTACTATTTGATTGCATAAGGGGAAGGAAGAAGAAAGATAACTGGTAACAGATTTTTGATGGGCATTCTCGGAGTTTTGTCATATATTTGCCGTGACATTATAGCCAGTTTGTAAATCAACGTTAGTTGACTGACACAGCCACACAGGGATGTTTTTGTTATGGAGCTTTGAGTTTGAGGGACCTTTTCATAGTTTTGTTAAAAATGAGGGGCTGGTTTGTTATTTGATCAAACCATAGAGGAAGTAAATGTAATTAACCCTAAAATTTTAGGAAAAAGGGGAATAAAAGGGTACAAGGAAAAGGAAAATCGTATCAGGTAAGAGCCAGCAAGGAATACAGAGCACATTACAAGAAACAAAGAACCATATGCAATTATAGATGATCAGAATAGCCAAAAAGCAAGTACAAAAGGAAAAACAGATGGATAAAGGAACGAGACTCCATTAATTGATTAATTCTCACTGACTCTCAAAACAGAATTGATAATAGCAGATTTCATGATTGTAGTAGTAGTTGATATCCAGCTATTGAATTTATGAAAAACAAGGGATCATGTAATTCATTATCACTATTCAATTCTGACACACTATTCAATCATGGAATGTTATCTAACACATCTTCAAGAAAACGCCTCAAGGAAGAAAAGGATGATCCTCCTTCATTAGGAGCCAACCTGCTCTTCTCTTTCATTTCCTTCACCTTCTCTCTGATTTCATTCTCAGGATCCATCAGATGTTTAATCCCTCTTTCAATCACATCTGTACTCAAAATCTCACTACTCACACCCAGTACGAAATCCCTTTTGAAATCTATTTTGATCTCCACTGCCATTGCCAAGTCTTTCACCATTAGGAATGCATTCTGCTGCTGCTCTGCATAAAGCGGCCAAGTTGCCACTGGCACACCGCACCAAACGCTTTCCAATATTGAGTTCCAACCACAGTGAGAAACAAAGCCCCCCACAGCAGGATGGGATAGAACTGCCGCCAGTGGTGCCCATCCAATAACTTTTCTAACAGCTGCAGTTCGCTGCAAGAACCCTTCTGGCAAGACTTCATCCATGTTCTCATACTCACTTGGAAACTCAAATTTTTCTTTAGGTGAAGGCGTTCTCAATGACCAGAGGAATCGATATCCACTGTGCTCGAGTGCATAGGCAATTTCCTTCACTTGGTCACCATCAAAACTACCTGCACTACCAAAGCAAAGGAACACAACAGAACATTTTGGCTGAAGATCTAGCCATTTCATAATCATCTCAGTTTCTTGATTTTGACTATTGCTTCCCTTCAGATTCAATACAGGCCCTACTGCATATACTGGTGGGATGGTTTTATCATTGCTCAAGGCGTGAATCGCATGGGATTCTAACTCAAGGAAAGTGTTAATTATGATTCCCTTGGTCTTCCTGTATCTTTGTGCCTGATCGAGGACCATGTCGACACCTCCATCCTTCTCAAACAATGCAGATGACAAAAGTTTAGCTGGAACAGGATTGATGTAAGTAGGCAAAGCTAATTCAACGTCTGAATTCTCGTAATGGCTCACATCTTCATTCTCGTAATGGCTCACATCTTCATTGAGATCATCCCTCAGACTTTGCAACTGGAATAAAACGCCAAGCGTTGCAGCACCACCTGGGTAAAATATATAGGAAGGAACCCCAAATTCATTGGCTACATCAATCAAAGAGGTGCAAAACATGTCTATGACGATCCCACCAAGGTGCGACGAAACAGAATTGGATATTTCAGCAAGAACCTCCCTCACACAACTTTTATGGTTGTCGATAAATCGAAAGAAAATCGAAAGAAAAGACGACAATTGAGAAGAAGGCTCTTCTTTCATGAGCTCAAGGTACCTTATGTGCAAATTCGGAGTTTCTAACAACGAATTTGTGTAGCTACTGACTTTTGGATCAAAGGGCAGCTTCATAATCAGGACGGTGATCGATAATTGTTCATCACATTCAATGAGAAGCTTTGCTAGTTCAACACATGACACTAAGTGGCCAATCGCTGGCATAGTAACGAAAACCAGCTCTGCTTTTTTCATTTCTTTCGTTTTCTCTGCTAACTTTAGCCAGTTGATTGAAGATGGAAATCCAACCTTTATCTTTCTAGTTTCTACTTAGCTTGCAAACGCATGCCACATGTATCTTATCCGTTTACATGAAGAGCAGATGTGATGCCTTTCACTAGTGAATCGAGTAGAAATAAAAAACTACCATGTTTTCAGGATTTTTACTCGATAAATGTAAATGTACTATCAATAAATTGCTTTGTCATGTTGAATCGTGAAATTTTATTATCATTAATCAAGGGGTTAAAAACAAAAAAGCCCCTTATGGTTTCATATCATACGCTTCGGTATCCTGTAGTTTGAATTATTCTGAAAAGTCGACAGAAAGCATCAAATGTAAGGCTTTTGTATTAAACGCACTGAAAAGGCACATGTTTCTTGCGGAAAATAAGTTTTTATCACAAACTTTCACCAGATATACCTATTGTACCCTTCACACTTTCCTGCAATTTTGGCTGAAGACCCACAACATAGAACTTTCGAGATTGATGAGAATGGACGGACCTTATGGTTCAAATCCCACTTTGTTTTCTACGATAAAATCATGATGGTGTGAGCCATGACTTCACTTGCTTATTACCAGGTCAAAATACAGTTTTTCCTCGGACTATTGTGAACTGATGGAACTATAAAACCCAGAGCCTTGGAGTTCATCAAAATCAAGGTAGTAATTGAAAGCCTATATATAGTTTTGATCTCCATCTTTAATTAAATAATTTACTGAAGTCGGTAACAGAAAAGAGGGGAGAAATGAAGAAAACAGACCATTCCTTAAGCAGGGATGGGCCACTTAGCATCAACTATAGTGACCAAGTGAAGGAAATTGCCTATGCACTCGAGCACACAGAATACCAGTTTCTCTGGTCATTGAGAACGCCTCCACCTAAAGGAAAGTTCGAGTATCCAGGTGAGTATGAGAACCTGGAAGAAGTCTTGCCAGAAGGATTCTTGCAGCGAGCTGCAGGGGTCGGAAAAGTTATTGCACCACAGGCTGCAGTTCTATCTCATCCTGCTGTTGGAGGCTCTGTCTCTCACTGTGGCTGGAACTCAACATTGGAAAGCGTTTGGTATGGCGTTCCAATGGCAACTTGGCCACTTTATGCTGAGCAGTAGGTGAATGCCTTCCTGATGCTGAAAGAGTTAGGGATGCTAAATTACTTCGGCTATTTTCGCTTATATTATTAGGGTATTTTCGTCTTTTCACTCAGCTCCGACTATTTTAATGATTTCTGTCGACTTTTCAGAATAATTCAAACCATAGGGTACCGACGCACATGATATGAAACCACATGGGAATTTTCTGTATGATAGCTATACCACATGGAGCTTTTCTATTTTTTAACCCTTAATCAAGCTAATCATTAAACTCAATATAAAGTAGTTTCTTTGTTTTGACATTTAATTATCTTTTTATTTAGGGTGAAATGCACTTAACTCTCCTCAATTTAATCTACAGTTGCACTTTGTGCATTTATACTCATTATATAGGCATTTTGTCCCCCCTCTACTTGATGTTTTTGAACAAAACTACTCTTACTATATAATGAGTTAAGGGGATAAAGTGCGATGCGAAGTAACATTGTGAGAGTTTTATATGTGTTTATAACTTTCAAAGTTACTGTGCCCTTCATGGGGTGGATTTGGAATGGGAGAAATACCATCCACTGATCCGTTCTCCAAAAAGTCCCATCCCCTTTCCCATCTCCACTATCTCTACCCCCTGCACCTTACTACCTCTGGGGCTGCCCCCAATCTACACCTCTAGCATTTTTATTTTTTTTTGCTTGATTTTAATTTTTTATATATGTGATGCACTAACAATGAACTTGCAAATAATTGTTGTACATTTATCCAACGTGAAATAAAAGTTTAAAATTATTTTGATCTTGTGAATTTATTTTCTGTACATATGATTTTATATAAAAAAAAAAATCAATTATCGTACTTTTTTTTATGTATCTATAAACAACATCAAAATAGAAAAAATAAACTAACGTAACAAAATTATTGGTTAATCACAATAAATTAACAAGAAATATTACATTAATTTATTACAAGAAAATATCATGTTATTAATTTTAATATTACATACATATAGTTTTATTATATTGTTTATTTTTACGTTGTACATATATAAATATATAATATTAAATTATTAGCGGCAAACGGGATAGGGGTATTTTTCCCGCCCTCCCACCCCATTTAAAGTGGCAGGAAAAAGATCTCCCTCGACCCTGTTGATCATGAATATCTGCCCTGTTGTCATCGTGAATCCTATTTTTAAATTTATAAAATCACAATTAAAAATTGCTGAGAACCTCTAGTGATGCACTGCATCAGTAGTTGTTAGTGTTAATTATTGGAGACAAGTTATAGGTTAAAGAGGGATAATGTAATTATTATCTTCATTACATCTGAGGTTGAAGTAGTTAACCAGCACATGTGATAGTAGGAAACATTCGAAGATGTTCTGGTACTATAGTTTTCTCTTTGATGTTTAAATATATTTGAACTTTACATTGAAAATTTTTATTAATTTTTTAGATTTGAAGTATCTATTATTATTCATATTTGTTTTATATGCATATGTTTGTCAGATGTGATTTCTGTTATTAGTGCAGATTTTAATATTTAATGAAATTTTGAATTGTTTTATAAAAAAATTATAAATCTAATCGTTAGAACAATTTTTGCTATCCTGTTCACAAAAATGTCCTTTCTTAAAAGCATTGCAAAAATTTTATTGTGATTTTTTACTTTTAAAACAGTAAAATCACCACAATGAGTTGCTTCCACTTTCCAGCCATTGCAATTGTGGACTTCCGGAAAATTCAACCCACTCATATCCAGAGAAAACCCACTCCAAAATGCGGGGATCCAAGATTTTGGAATATTAATTTCACATTCCTCACTTGAGGTTTTTAACAATTTTTATTGTCCTCCCCTAAAGTTTTGAAAATATTATTAACCTCCCTGAAATTAATTTTCTTGTAACAATTCAGCTCAATTCAGAAAAAAGCACAATAAAAAAATTGATTCTAGCAGAGAGAAGATTTTGTACTTTCACAAGTACCCCTTAACTATTGCTCACCATCAACAAGATAAAATATGCTAAATTACATTTTTATTTTTTGATTATATGCATGATCCAACTTATTCTTTTCACTTTCTAGTCCATTATTAGATATGAGATCAACAAGAAATTTCCATCATCTGCAACTACTCCCTCCGTCCTAAAATATGTCAGGTCTCATACTTATTTTCAACAGTGCCAAGATTTCAAAAGTTTTGGTCTAATTTCCAGCAATACCTTTATTCAGTTTCTATGCATTATAACTTGTCAAATGGCAGAAAGATAATGGAGTGGTGACAAGACGTGCGGGACCCATGCCTCAAGAATGTTTCATGCTATTTTTTGGAAAAGTATCTTGCACGACCATTGTTTGCACTTGCTATGGGACTCACGCGTATTAAGTGCAATTCTTGTCGTCTTTTGGGGTCCATCAAAAGATTAAAAGAATCTGGTATATTTAAGGGCATGAGATGGAAATGGGGGAAAGTTTTCATTGCCAATTGTGGTAATTGACATTAATTTTGGGACAAACCAAAAGGTAAAGTATGAAACTTTCAATGGGACGGAGGTAGTAACAAATAACAGCTTTCGAAGTTTTACAAAAGAGATCTCTTTTCTCTTACCTTAATATGCTGTTATTACCACCATTTTGAGAGGAATTAGACCCTGCCTTCAAGCCTCTTCAACCCTTAGTTTTGGTGAAATTTGATAAATGTGCATTTTGCATATTTTAAGTGTGTTTTATTATTTATATTTTGGTGTGTTTTAGTCATTTTAATAGTTAAATAACTAGGTTTCTAGTGGGAGTGTTCAACACATTTATAGGGAAGTGAACATACTTGCAGATGCTTTGGCAGGTCTCCCAAAAACGGCGCAATATCTCTTTGATTCCATGTGTTAGCTGCCAAAACATATTCAAACACTGGATTCACTAGATATTTTGATTTGTACAGGGATTAGATGCATCCATGTAAGGGAGTAGTACTCGTTATTTAATGCTTTTTTTTATGTATGAGACACTATTTCTTTAACGGATTTTTCAACTAAAATTGGGGGTGGTGTCCCTCCCCCATGTATGGGGTTTTGCCGGTACAAAAACACTAGATTTCTAGTGAAAGTTGCATTTTGTGGTCCAATTGTGAAAAATTGCATTTCTATGGGTTAAAGTGGTAAAAATCATATTTTGTAGGTCTAATGGCTCAATCATCAAATGGGGTGAATTGAGAATATATTTGGATGATTATTGATTATTAGAAGTGATTTAAAGTGAACATGAATTGTAAAATGTTCATAGGATGAGATGCAACCAAGTACAAAAGAAGAAAAGTTTGATAGTTTTGACACCTTTTGGTTTTTTACTATATCTTGAATTACAAGTATTGGATTGAGATGATTCTTAAACCATTTGAATCTAAAGATATTGACCTACAGTTCTTATGAAGATATCAAAATTCAATTCATACATTTTCTTGGCCAAAAGGTTGAAATACCGTCATGCATTTTTTGCTTTCAAAAGCTGAACAGGGGATTGACTAGTTAGTGATTTTTTGGTCATTTCTCCACCTACAGACATCCAAGTGGGATGATTCCTGATGCATTCGAAAGTTAAGTCAAAGAACTACAATTTTTATGTTTTGAGAAAAGGCTAATTTGGCTTTTATCATTGAAAAAATTGCAGTTGAATTTGGTCAAAAAATAGAGCAATATTGTAGATTGAGAAAAACAGTGCAAACCCGCTGCAACTTGCAAGAGCAAGTTGTAGACATTTCACACAAGTTTTTTGATCAATTTTTCTGCAAGAGAAAACTATTGGATCTAGCAAGATTTGTCTTGGAAAAGTTAAGGACAACTTTATGACTGCATTATGAGCACATTTTCTCCTCCAAATACATCTATAAATACCCCTTGTATCTCATTAATTAGAAAAGGAGAGAAGGGTAGAGAGAACTAAATAGTTGTAGCTTAGAATGTCACACCTCGAGCCCGCACCTTGTCTGGAATGTGACAGTTGCCGTACCCCAAAGAGTATAATTCTCCAAGATACAAGGCCTCAATAATCATTACATTTTATTTACGGAAGCAATAGAAAATCTAGTGCGGAACTTATTTCTATTAATACATAAATAAAAATAAAATGCTTAAGTAATCATTCTATTGAGCCATATATGATCATTATTAACATAACGGATCCAAATATAACATTTATTATTCTACTAGCAATCCTAGTCACCATCAGCCTCAACAAACTCGTATACATACTTATCCTCTACATAAAATGTTAAAATATTGGGATGTGCATCAACTTGCTCAGTGAGTAAAACATACCGCCCTTGTTGGACTGAGTATGTTACATATATATACAGTTATACATTTCCAAAAGTTATACACGTAAACACACAATTTCATGAAGAGTAAACATTCTTTGCACATTAGTATCATCTATAAACATTGATTAAATAGTTAATAGCTCTTAATAGTTACATGTCTTCATCGGCATTGAGTACTCAATCTAGTGATTGACCCCACTAGAACGGGCAATCAAAGGGACCTTTGGAGTATCCTTTAACCAACATTGCACTTTACTTTACTTTACTTTGACATTGGCAAGACTATAACCCCTATCAATTATGTCGTGACCATTAGAGCTATTACATTAACATTCACACTTAATCAAGTAAAATCAAATAATTTTATATAAGTATGAACATATCATATACATATAGATTTCATGACAAGAAGCATTTAGGTTTAATGCATATAGCCATACAAGGTCCATTTTCATATAGAGAAAGTAACACTTTGCTAAACATTGCCAAAAAGATTTTAGAAAATACAAAGGGTTAAATCCCACTCACCTCAATTAGCTTGGAAGAATGTCTTGCTAGTGTTCTTGATCCTTTCCTTCAATCCCTAGAGAGATAACATGTAAGTCTATTACTTTACACATATTGATTGTTCATCAATAATTTCTTTAATACATCCCCTAGAGATGTTCAACCCTAGGACACTTACCATTGCTAAACGAGTAAAGTTTCTATATGTAATATTTCCCTTTTAAGTAAGCTTCCTATTTTAGAAAGTTCCTTTCTTGGAAAGTTACTATTTTTGGTAAGTCTATACAACTTTGGAAGGAATCCTAGTTTAGGTCAATATTCTTGGAAAAATCAATCATTAAGGAAATTCTAGTTAATTTAGCTAAGTCTTTATTTTAGAGAGGTCATGAATTAACTAAGGAAAGTTCATAACTTTGGAAGTCATTTATTTTAGGAAAAAAGTTCTTAAAATGTCAATGACAATTTCAATTGTTGTTGTATTCTAGTAGTAACTTTAGTACATCAAAGTTTTAAACTTTAACCTTAATGTTAAATGAGGCAGTTGCAAAGAAATACATAAATTACAACACTAAACTATTGAGTACTTGTCACTATTAATGTCGTTAATAAAAACTCATAATCAGTTGGTGTTATCATCTTAGTAGTCTTCTTTTTTTAGATAGAAGTTTGTGTTTTCAAGCATTAAGGTTTACTTTTCCTTAAGATACTATCACTGTCATTTAGCTACGGATAATTAATAACGGTTATAAGATAATCTTGGAGCTGTTATGATAACAAAAGTAATGTTAGGGCATTAAGGGTTGAAAATTCAATCTTACACTTGAATATTCTAAATGTGATGGTACTAAAATCAATGTTTTGAAAACTGGACCGGACCGGCCAGTTGAACCGCAAACCGACCATGCCTCCGGTCCGGTTCAATTAAAAACCCAAAGAATTAATTGAACCAGTTGAACCGGTAAAAACCGGGAGGTTCAACCGATTTTTTTAAGTATTTATTTTTTAAAATAAATATTTTAGTTTTATTCAAAATGTTTAATACTAAAATGAATAAAAAATTATTAAACCTTTGAACTAGGATCAAACCGGTTGAACCGATCGAACCATGAAGCGGAAGGTTTTCCGGTTCACTCCCCGGTCCGAGTTTAAAAGCATTGACTAAAATAATTTACAAGTTGTTGGTCAGGGGCCACTGATTGCGCCAAATTTGCATAACTTTTAATAGTCTAAAACACTGAGACTAAGAACTAGATTTGAATCATACTGGTCATATCAAATGTAAACAATTTGCATTACTATGTGAACAATAGTCTAAACAAAAAGAAACCTTCGTAAGACATTGAAGCTACTACGCTTATACTAGTATACATAATCCATAATGATTCCAAATCCATGTAATGACATGTGCATGATAATAAGAAAACTAATATGCATGGGATCTAACTACTTATACGTGAGTTGCATTCTTAATGGATCCTCAGGCCAACAAGATCTTTTAAAGAGTAAGTACTATTGTTAGATTAATCAAGGCACATTCAAATGGATTGATTATAACATGATCCTTTAGGAGTTACTCAATAGATTCTAATAGAACTTAATCAACAATTTTCAGAGTTTTGAGATCTAGTTAATTCTACTAAAATTCATAAACTAAGGTAGGTACAATAAATCTTAAAATCCAGATTGACTTTTCAATACAATGAAAAATAAAAATCTTAGAGTCTTACTTGCGTTGCAATCACGAGTTGTTATTTGACTTCAAAGTTCCTGCTTCTCCCTCTTTTCCTCTTGCAAAAGCTTGCTCACCCTCTCCCTCAAACTCACCTTTGTATTTGTCAATTTTCCAGAGAAAGGAAAAAATGATTTAATTTTTTGTACAGGGTATGTATAAGCCTCAGATTAGTAGTGTTATGTCAAAACTCAATTAAAAAGTCAACGTCCTAATTATTAGTTGATAATATTTTCTAAATGGATTGATTGAGATTTGATTTATAATTAGACATAAATGTTATTAATTGTATTTTAAATCTTACCATAGGAAATATCCTAATTAGTAATGGAAATAGGCTTGATTAATGGTTGACTGGCAATTACATATTAATGATACTAAATGTAATTGGAAACCTTACCATGAAAATTAAAGAAAAGAACTAACTACATTTATTGATCTTATTACTAGTGTTTAGTAGTATGACTAGGTTTCTTTGCCTAAGTAATATGGTAAAGGTGTGATTTTAGGATATTACATTATACTCCCCTTAAAATAAGTTTTGTCCTTGAAACTGACATACCTTGTGTAAACAATTGCGGATACTTTGCTCTCATTTTTTCTTCCAACTCCCATGTTGCTTCTCTCTCTATATGGTTTGTCCGTTGGAATTTGACATGCGAAATCATCCTTCGTCTAAGCACCTGATCCTTTTGATTAACAATCTTCACTAGATGTTCTCTGTAGGATGTGTCTTCCCTCACCTCCAGTGGTTGAGCCTTCAGTACGTAACTTGGATCAAAGACATACTTCCTCAATTGGGACATATGAAAGACATTATGGACTTTAGATAGAGCAAGTAGCAGTGCCAAACGATATGCCAAATTTCCTACTCTTTCAAGTATCTCAAAAAGGCCTATGTATCTAGGTCTTAACTTTCCACTCTTTTCAAACCTCATAATACCTTTCAAAGGGAAAATTTTCAAATATACCTTATCCCCTTGATTAAACTCTAGCGGTCTCCTTTTAGTGTCTATGTGACGCCCCTACCTCTCCCTAGGGCGAACCCCAAGGTATCAGCGGGACGCCTGCCTAACTCTCGTCAGAACTCACTCACTCGTTCAAGTTTAATAAAGGATTACAATTAACCATCGATTTAATTAAGAAGTACTTCGAATATACAAGCTCAAAACTCCCAAGTATACCATTTACAATTACAATTCACAATTCCCAAGTATAACAAAATTTACACTTCAATGGTCCCTAATAACATACAAAAGTATACTAGTTTCAAGCAAAAGCCGCTAGTCTAGAATCTCCAACTTCCACTTCCAAAGCCTGTTAAGGAAAACAAACTTAAAGGGATGACCTAACGCTCAGTGAGGCCAAGAAAACAAGTAAGCAAGCAAGCACGTAGGACCAATTAATCGAATAGCATATTTGAAAGCATCTTTAACATGAACTTTCATTTAAATACACAAGTAGGAAATAAACACACTAGGAAGGATACAAGAGCTCTCAGGAGCTATTTCCACATCTCGACCGTTTCAAGCCATCTGGGGTTGACTCTCCGTCAGCTCAAATAGTAACATGACCATAGTGCTCCACTTACTTCCTCCATCCAACATAACACCCTCTTGAATCCAGAACCAAACACGCATGAGGTGGCAATACTAATCGAGTATGCTAAGCAAGATCTCAAAAGATCAAACTATAAAATTTCTCATAGTTCACCAAGCTTCTCGACCAAGCCCTTGCTGGCTCGAGTTACGAGGTTAGCCAATGGGTTGGGGCGTCCCCAGAAGTATAAGTGGTCGATGAGACTTCGCTCCAATCGACTTTGAATTGTTTAGGGTTCTGAGTCGGTATAAGAGGCACCTTCCACCTGATTAGGGTGTGGTACATGTTGCTGCTCAGAGAATCGATCATAGCACTGAGTCGGTATGAGAGGCACCTCCCACCCGAATAGGGTGTGGTACATGCTTCCGCTCAGTGTTCACGAGTTAAACATGTTCATGTACAAATGTAAGTCATATATATTCATTTAACAAGTATCATGTAATCAGGAAAGAGAGAGGACGAGGGCGATAAAGTACACTCTCGCCTCGGTAAGTTCATGTATCATATACCACTTGTACAAATAGCAATTCAATCATAGTAGCATTGAACATGCACTTGACACTCACCAAAAGTCAAGGCAAAACAAGAGCAAAGCGAGAAGTCAGATGAGCTCTTCGGCGTCCTCGTGACCACTTGAGACAAGCACAATCATGATTACCTAGATACTCGACCAAGGTTATAAAGAAAAACATTTTCTTGCTAGCCACTCTCAAGGTCACAAGTCGAGTCAAGTTAAAGGAGTTTTTCTCGCTAAATCATTGAAATAATACTCAAAGAGAACTTAAAGGCCGTTTTCGAGTTAAGTCATGGTAGGTAATCTCAATTTCAAAAGAAAGTACTATATTTACTTTCGACAAGAAAATCGAGAAAAAGGGGTAGATGGTTTTCATCTCTCAAAACTTTTAATCTCATGTCCAAAAGTTAGAATATAAAAAACGTTCACATTTTCCAAACTAATGGAGTCAAAACTCATCAAAACTCCACTCATTTTCATAGTAAATGTCAAAGTTAAATGTTCCAAGTTTCGAGTATAAAACTAGTGAAATTTTCCAAGAATTACTCTAGTCAATGTAGACACCAAATTTTTGACTTTATTTTTTCATTATTAGTTTATTGATTTTTATTTTAGTTTGGTTTTACTAATCTCATTTTTAGACATTTTAGCATAAAATTTGAAAGAAAAGGAAAAGAAAGAAAAAGAAAGAAAAGAATTTGTTCACAAAAATATGTTTTGGGGCATTTTTTTAGTATTTTATTTATTTTAGTTAAAATTATTTCTTACTTTAAAAAAAAAAAAAAAAAAAAGGTCACGGCAATGCAGAAAGCTGCGTTTTTTTTGCCGCAGCTTGCAAATGAGATTGGAAGAGGTCCTGGAGATGAAATTTGGAGCTGCAAAAGGCCAGGTGTCTAGGACACCTGGAGGGGGGATGAATCTAGAAGGATAGCTAGGTTTTGAGAGATAGAGAGAGCCTAGGGACGGAAAATCTGGGGGGGAGTTTTAGGAGGTCGACTGTGAAAAAGGCAGTGGCGGCTGAGGGAGACGAGGGACGGCAGCTAAGAAAACGAGAGAGAAATTGAGGACCGAGATAGGGGAAGTCGAAAAGGAATGGCCAGAAAGAGGGAAAGGAGCAAGCGGGGAAATCTGAGAGAATAGGGGGGCGGCGGATGAAAGAACGGCAAAGAGTGAAAGGCGATAGCGAAGGAAAAGAAACGAGGGCTGAAAAAGAGTGAAAGAGAGAGCGAGAGAGAGGGCTGAGTTTCTGTGTGAGATTGGAGGAGAAGCCGCAGATAAGGAGAGTTGCGGGCGAGAAGAGAAAAAACGCAGGGGGAAAGCTGGGGAAGTTTTGGGGCTTCAGTTGGGCTAGGAGCCACAGACGCACAGAACGAAAAAAAAACAGAGAGCTTGGCCGAAAGGAAATGGAGGAAGAAAAATTGTTTCGGCAGGGGTGGAAAAGGGCAGCAAATAAACAAGGGAAGAAAGGACTGGTCTCCAAGAATTTTTCTAGAGCAGCAGGGAGGCCCTTAGTTCCTCTTTCCAAGCTTAAGACTATCTACAATGAAGTAGCCAGCCCAGCCCTCCCCGCTGCTGATGCCGACGGCGCAAGTGTACTGCGTGATGGGCGGCGCCTCCAGCCACACGCAGCGCCACCTTCTCCTCCTCAACAAAAGCCTGCGCCCGGCAACTCCGCACCCAACCCCTCAATTCTTCCTCCATTTCGCCTTACAAAGCTGACACTGCCGCCTGTGGACTACCACCGTGAGAGGTCACAGTAAGGTAGCCTCTTCATTTCCATTTCCTTCTTCCGTCAAAGTATATTTTCTGTAAGGTTGGCATCTCAATTTTCGCATCGATTGTTCATGGCCATTTTCTGTATGTTAATTAGATTGGTTTCTTGTGGGTTTGCTGTAAATTGTGGGGCTGAGTATAGCTTCAATTGAGTAAAAGATTAGTGAAATTTTTGATGCCCTTTACCTGTTTGATGAAATGCCCGGCTAAAAATTCTGTTTGAGGAACGATTGACTTGCGTTTTGCTGTGATCTTGTTTTTGTTTGCGAAGAAAGCTGAAATGCTAATGATGCTTAGACTGTTTGGAGAAGCTGACTATTTGTCCCAAAATTTTTGCTGTTTTCACTCTTGTTTTGCATCCTTTCGATGGGTCTTTGTAGCTTGCATTTTGGTTAAATTTCAAAGATTAGAGTTGTAAGATCTTGTTGTTTTGGTTTGAATATTTGATGTGTGATTGGATGTTGTTTGCGCCTGGCATGAATTTCATAAGAAGTATTGTTGTAGAAAATGTCCTGATCGCAGGCTCTTCCATTTTGTTCTTTGATTGACCTTCAAGGGTTGTCTCCTTGCCTGTTGTGTTGTGTGTTGGAGCTTAATGGAATGGGTTAATGAATTTGATGATTTGGTTTAAGATGGCCTAAGTCGCCTAGGTTGTATATGCTGCAAAAATTATAGAGAATTGGTGATGAAGAAGAGTTTCTGTGAAGAAAAATGCTTTCTGCGAAGAACATGCGTGAATAAATCTGAAAAATTTGCAATTTAATCCCTCAATTTCTGTCTAACTTCATTGTGGCTCAAAATCTGGAAAAACCAAACTAATTTTGTCCTTTTAAGTTTAATCCTCTGTTTGCATATTTTATGTGATTTTCTGGATAGATTAATGCTGGGGTTTGACGCATAATCAGAGTTTAGCAAGTTTTAGTTGGGTTTATTTTGGTGGACTTTATTAAATAAAAATTAGACTTGGTTTGGACCTTTCGGTTGGGCTAGGAAGGCTTTGGCCCAAACAAATAATAAAGTGGCCCAATGGCCTGTCAAGTTAAGAAGCCTGATGACGAAATTTCGTTCCAGTCCCATAACTTTCGGATGTTTTCACTATGGCCCCAACAACTTTCAATTTCATTCAATTGGGTCCTTGCTTTAATTGCAAATAGGTCCCTGAACTTTATTTTTCTTTAATTTTGACCTCCAAACTTTGTTAATTTGTGCAATCAAGTCCTCTTCTTCTTTTGACTTCTTGAATGTGGGTTGCTTACATGATTCAATTTCAAGTTTGCCATTTTATTTTTTATGATTATTTGATAAATAAAGTGATGCCTTGACTCTTTTATTATTTTGGAGGATAAATAAGTATTTCACCCCATTAGAGCTCCATTTCAAGGGAGGTACACTCTATCCCTTATCTCGGCTTTATTTGACCATATGTGAACCAACGTGCTACGTGAGAAATACATGTCTACTTTGCTTTCCTAGCCTTTCTTTAATTTCTTTTATTTATGTCATTTACTTTTGCTTTTTATTTAAGTTATTCTTTATGGGGTATGTGTACACCTCTTGGCTTGTAATAGTTAGGGATTTAATTATTTTATTCCTTTCCCCCTTTCTAGATTGTAGTAGGGTCTCCCTAATGTAATAGATAGGGCTTGGAGGAGCATTCAATGAAGACCTATCGAAGTCAAGTGCCTAGCTAGCAAATGTAATAGTTAGGGCTTTAATTGTCTTATGTGTCTTGCATGCTTAGTTGCTACGTGTTAATTTGCTTTGTTAGGGCCTTGCATCTAGTCGAGCATGCTAAATGTTATGTGCTATGTGTTTATAAGTGTTTGGCATGTCTACTCACTTTCCATAGCCTGAATGAATGTGATGGATGAATGTACGTTTCCGCTAGTCCAACGCTAGTCGGAATTCATAGAATGGGCTAGCCCAACGCTAGACCCTTAGGGATTTCTCCTCGTTAGTACATGTTTGCATGTTCATTACATGTCATGCATTCGTTTTAGTTTTATCATTTTGCATGCCCCTCGAACCCCTTTTCCCTCCATTTTAGGATTT